TCGTTTCCCCTCCTGCCGGTCCCCCTGGTGTCTCGGTTCTTTCATCCTCCAGCTCGCCTCTGCCAGGAAGAGGCTGGAAATGTTCGTCAGTGTCAAAGTTGCACTCATACAAGTTCAAAGTTGTGTGTGTGTTTTTAAAATGACACCATTAGAGGCAGTTTTCAATGTGACTTAAAATTGTTAATTTATGGGTCAAAACCAACCGTATCGAATCTTTAGAGATATCCACAGATTCTTATAGTAAAAATAATTCTCAGTTATAATAACCATCATTCAGAAGGAAGATACAGATGGTAAAATGAGACTTAAGCACACTGTGCTTTTAAGAGTTAGTGCAAGATCCTCCACACTGTATGATTCTAGATTCTATACAAGTCAGAAAATGCCTTTGTTTGTCCCAGATGTATCCTCTTTTGAAATTATTAGTCTACATTCTTTTAAAAGGCAATATTTTAAATGTGATGTGTATTTGTTCATGGGGCCCTAGCTGAGACCCACTATGCAGTTTCCAGTTTCCGAAGAGGTGACAGCACCATTGAGGGTCCTCGTTAATGGGCTCTTCGGGTATGCCGTGGTAAAGCCAAGGTCCTCTCCAAAAATGAAGAGACCTGAGGTACCAATCTGCTCATATAACTTCCTCTTGGGTGCACTACATCTCTGCAAATTGGGTCTTACCTTCCATCTAAGTTGTTGAGACTGATTCTCGTAGGAGGTGTTGGGCTCACAAGTAGAATTGGCTGCCACAAGCGTGGGTAAACTGATCCCTTAAACCTGGTTGGAAGTTGCCTGTGAGATTTGCTCAACAGGGGGCCCTGGGAAAAACTCTCACTAAACACTTTGGTCTGGTGTTAACTGTGCCCGTGAGGTAGTAGAACAAAAGTTCCCCCGTAGCAGGGGTGGAGAGGCTGTTTGAGATAGCCCAAAACACCTGAGACAACGCTGGTAAGCCTGGAACATTCCTGAGGGGCTCAAATACTCAGACAGAAACATGGTACATGAGTAGCCTTTGGGGGTCATTATTTGTGTGTTGCAGGCCCTCTGAAGGCTGGTTAAGTCTGGGGCCTCTGGGTTCCATCTGAATAATTACTAATTGGCTCAAGGGTAAGCAGGCAAAGTTAGGTTTTCTTCTTTCTTTTAGCAAGATAATTGAGGAAAAGCCTAGGCTGCTGGGTTCAAAACCTGATTGCCATTTTCTATACAAGTTATTTCATCTTTTCATCCCTCAGAATATTCGGTCTATAGCTTGTGGCTAATGAGGGTACCTACCTGGTGACACTGATGTGAAAGTGAAGTGAAGTGATTCAAGCTAAGGGCCCGGAATGGATATGGTCAGTGCTCAACAGATGTGCATCAATTCTGCTCTTTTTTATGTCTCCTTCCTTAGTGTTAGGAGCTCAGGATCCCCGTGCTACTTCTTGCCTGCCCAGAGGTCCTACATCAACACCCTCTTCAAGCCTGCGCTCACACTTGAACCATGCTCCCAGTTGTCTCTGTTCTCAGCACCCTCCCCACTCCTTTCCCCAAATCGAAACTTCCTTTCCCTCAAGATGGTGTGATAGAAGGGAAGCCACAGATGAAGCTGACTGTGATGCCCTCCCATATTTGCATTTTAAAACAGAAGCTTGTTAATAAGAAAAATGAATCTCACCTAAGGAATGCGATACGAGAACAGATTGAAAAAACAGGAAAGAGGACAGTCAGAGGAGAACCTCTGTAGCTGTCTCCAGGTGCCTGTGGGGCTGTCAGGAAATGCAGAGAATACAGACACGATCGATCGGTGCTGTTCCCAGGAGTAGAGCGCAGACCTCGTGGCAAGAAGGTGCAGGGAGGCAGATTTGGACTCAACATATTGAAGAATTCGTCCCTCATGCTCTAGCAAAGTGCCTGGCACACGGAAGGCAGTCAATAGTTTACTGTTTTTATTAGCCCTTAGGGCTGTCGGCTGGTGACTGCTTCTGGCTGTAATGAGTTCCCCATCACAAGAGGTGTTCAAGCTAAATTGTCTAGGATGTGTCCCTTTGGATAAGAATTGAATCAAATGAATACACTGAGGTCTCTTCCAGCTTGTAAAATTCAGTGACACTTTTGTTAATGGTAGAAATTCAATAGAGATATTTTGGAACAAAGGAACATCATATAAATCATTTTCCCAAAAGGCAATAGAGTGAAGCAGTGAAAACCAAGAGTTCTGGAGTTAGACATTGCCTGGATTCAAACCCTGATCATTCTACTTACTGGCTGGGTGACTCTGGACAAGTTATTTGCTCTCTCTCTACTTTAATCTACCCATCTGTAAAATGGGAGCAATAACAGTGTCTTCCTCAAAGTTATTACTAGAACTAAATTAACAGAAGTAAAGCGCTGAGACAAACACTTGGCCCACAGAAAGGTAATGCTCAGTGCATGCTAGTTATGAGGGTTAATGCTCAGTGCATGCTAGCTATGAGGGTTAATGCTCAGTGCATGCTAGTTATGAAGGTTAATGCTCAGTGCATGCTAGCTATGAGGTATCATCTGTTCCTGTTGCCACTCTAGGGCTTCTAAACCTCTTTTCAGTATGTGGAAGGAGGTCCTTTGTAGCCTCATTGACTCTGACCTTGTTTTTTCCCTAAATCATGTGCCCGCCATGGCCATTGTAATTAACCAGTGCACTTTCCATCTCCTGTAAGCAAGCTTGAAACCTAACCAAGCACACAAGGCCCGTGTCACACTGTTTATGAAGGATTCCGCTGATGAAACACAATCATGGCTGTGGACACCTTAACCCTGCTGTATGCCTGGCAAGTGGTAGATGCCCAGTAAATATTTGTTGAATGAATAGATGAACTTGGCAGGGTTCTTATTATTTCCCACATTTTATTTATTTATTTTTGATTAGGTAATACATTCACATGATTTAAAACTCAAAAGGAACAAAAGGCTTTCTAGTGAAAAACATCCCTCCCACCCTGTCCACCCAGTTCCCCGCCCCATACGTAACCAACTTTCTCATATATCTTTTCCAGAGCTATTTTAGGCATAAATAAGTAAACATACTGGCATATGCACATTCATTTCTTTCTCTATTTTTTAAACAAATGGCAACATATGCTGTTCAAGGCATGTTTATTGAAGTGGTCCCTGGAGCGGGGTGAGCATGGTTGCTCTGAGGAGGAATTAGGAAACAAGGAACTCAGAGACGGGAAATCAACCAGGAGCTTTTGCATTAACCCAGATGTAAAGTGATTAGGGCCTGGACAAGTATATGAAGGGGGGGTAATCGGAAAGAATTGTTGGGTGGGTTTTCGTTAGGCTTACACCAGAGTAACTGCCACCACAATCAAGATACAGAGCGTTCCTGTCACCCTCAGATGTTCCCTTGTGTCCCTTAGTAGCCAGAGCCCCTCCCCGGGCCCACACACCTGCTCCTCTGCTTGGTCTGAGTATTTCAGCCTGCATATTTCAGGCCTACGTGTCTTGGTAGGACTTCCACTCAGCAGAGCTCATCGTGATATCAGTCGACATCAGTGGGTGTTTAATCTGGCCCAGGTGCCTACCTGTGCCCATTCATTTAATCCTCTCCACAACCACAGAAGTCAGGTACTGCTGTTATCTTGCTTTCAGATGAGATACCTAAGGTACAGAGAAGTTAAATCACTTGCCCAAGGTCACACAGCTAGTAAATAGCAAGGCCAGAATTTTAAACCCAAAACAACATGCTTGCAGAGACCACACGTGAAAATAATCAAGAAAATATTTGCGCTCCAACCAGAAGACTTCATTACTATTTAACAAGACCAATGGAGAAAGAAAAACTTAGTAGGTTCTTGTAGAATGGATTTGTCCAGCAGCCTTCAAGTGGGCTTTAAGTGGCCCACAGCCTCTCTTTGCAGGCAGAGTTTCATTCCCCTGCCTTCAGTGTGCACACCAGCCATGCTGCTTTATTCTAAGAAATTATAATATCTAGAACTATCTCTTTATGTTAAGGAACTAGTGTGGTCAGGGCATTACTGAGAACACAACTATCTCTGCCTATCTACGGGTCGCAGAATGTGCATGTCATTCTGAAACCACAAGGAATGTGGTTAAGTCCCCTGGTCCCATCTCTCAACAAAGATTTATCTGTTTCACTGTTGCCTCCGAAGAGCTTTTCTACTGGATTAAGATGTTAATTCATAGTAATGTCTACTAATGGGCCTCCTGAAAGAGGAACCTATTAAAGGAATTAATTACATCACAGATTCAGAAACTTCCCAGTATAATGAAACGGCTCTCCAGCTGTAATCTTATGAGAAAGAAACCACTGAACTAAATCATAATGGAGACAAGTTCCTATAAAGTGAGAGGCAAGTATACTACGATAACTGCAGACTCAGAGAAACAAGACAGTGAAAAAATGTTAACATTGAAACCAATTTTCACTCACTGATGGGGTTTTAGTAAATATAGACCATATTTTTCTGAAAATTTCAAGTTATTACCACCTCTCATTTGAGGCCTATGTTTGCAACTTATTAGTATTACCAGTTAACCTTAGAATGCAATTTTAATGTTTTTTAAATAAGAAAAATAGTTATCTCCAGTCAACATAGAATAAAAGAAAATGGACTTTGGACTCATTAGGTGGCATTCAAAATCACGAGAAGGTGGTAGAATCATCTTTTCTGGAAGTCTAGATTGGTTTCAACACAGTGCTAATGTAAACCTGGGGAGCAGATGACTTTCTGGTCTCTTATTCCTCTGTGTGGCCCATTGTCACAGGCCAAATCTCCAGAAATGACAATAGCAGAAGAAAAAGATAATGGCAGAAGATTAACTGTAGGGCTAGGAGCTATGCTAGTGACTGTAAACCGCCAATTCGCTGGCTTCTAGGTAGACTGGGGACAGTGGTGCAGGGTGTTGTAATCCGGGGAATTTAACTAATGGTTTGTCTGAAATTCAGTCAAAGTCTGCATTTTAACGTTAACCTTGGATCTCTATTTCTGGACAAGTCGTTTATCTCCTCTTCCTCTGTTTCTTAGCCGCGAAACAAGGATGGTAACCCACCTAGGGTTTTTAACGACCAGGAGGTAGAAGCAGTGGGTCGCGACAGTCTGCTCTCGACCTGTGTGGCGCCTGGAATCCCTCCCTCTGTGTGGGCTCCGGGATCGGTGGAGCAGGGGTAGAGCTGCCGTGGAGGGCCAGCCCATTCATCGTGGTTCCAGAGAGAGCCCGGGGAGGCCGGGGCAGTCCTCTGGCCCCTCCTCCGGACACTGAGATGATTGTTGAGCAGAAGTGAAGTTCATCTGATCCTAGTCTGTGGCTAACGGAAGCGCGGGCCTCAGAGTGAACTCAGCTTTAAGGATGTGCTCAAGAGAATGTTGATTTTTTTTATTAATGAAACTCATTTGTGATAACAGTATATACCCAAGAGGCATCTGCATGCTGTAAAACTCTGTTTAAGAGATTATGGTGATGCCACACTATGTAAAGTGACTTTGAAAAGTTACAGAGGTTACAAGTTGATAAAATATCTTTCATTATCTCACTATTACTTGCATTTCAAGTGTTTCTTAGAATGGGCAAGCTGCATAAAATCCAACCTAGTTCTAGCTAAAAGTCTAACAGCTCTGATGGAAACTGTTAAACCAATTCTGTAACCAAAAACATAAAAACAGCTTAAAACTGCCAGGTATCAGTATTATTGTAATAGTCCCTTTATCAAAAACCTATAACTGAAATTTATAGGTAAGAATTTACAGTCAGCAGCAGGTACTTGGAAACTTGTCAGTTAAGGTTTCCTATTACAGAAGAACTTCTGCTGTAAGCTTTTTAACTCTCTAAAGTCAGAAATTAAAAAAAAAAAACTTTCACAATTAGTTTCTAAGGAAATTATATAACTGTCATAATACTAAGAGAAAAGCTTTAGATTGTCACTTCCAATAGGACATAGCCTCCTTAAAAAAAAAAACAAAGCAAACCTTGTTTTCTTTGGGAGTGTATATTTAAATAACAAAAAAATCTCTTTTCTGGACATATTTCTAAAAAAGATAGTTAATTAAATCATTTTAAAGTGACTTCATTGCCTGTTGCTTCCCCAACCTCCTCAAAATTGAGAATACAACAAATATTTGCATAGGTTTATTATTCACATTTAATCATGAATAATTCACTTTGTGCTGGTAAACAAGAGATGTGGAGTTTCCTTTTTCTAGAATATTTTTCCCTTGGCTGAAAGGAGGCAGCCTCAGTGTTGTTCTGTATGACTCTCAGTGCCCTGGTGCCCCCATCCGGGCGGAGGCCCTCCCTTTCTGCCCGTGCTTTCCCTCCCCTCTTCCCTCCCCTCCCTCCCCTCTTCCCTCCCCTCCCTCCCCTCTTCCCTCCCTCCTTTCTCCTGCTCTGTCTCTGTCCATCTCACTCTTCTCTCTGTCTCTTTCCTCCCAATTTACTTATTTCTGTCAGTTCCTGGGCTATACCTCACCAACACATTTTTTATTACAAAGTGAAAAACGAGTTCAGTCAGTCAGTTCTTCAGTCTGCAAGACAACCTAAGTATATGTTTATGGATTTGCTTTTGTGTGGATACTCCCTTAATGTGGGGAAAAAGATCCTTCCCAACTGATTCTGTTTGTCTCCGCCAATCAGTCATTAACAATTTCACAATTATTTGACTACCCACCACAAAGCCAGTTCTCATTTCTTTCTGCTCCTCCCAGGCCTACGTGGGGAAGCGAAGAAGCACGTATCCCTGCCCACAGGTTTACCCGGGGCATTTCAACCTGGGCAAGGGGACACAATTTACCAAAGGTCAAGGATCCTTCCAGTTCTGTGAACGTCATGAGTCAAATTGTGATAGTATAACTTGTGGTTTAGGAGAGAATTAGGCTTGACACAGTTCAGCTATGACGGGACTGGGAGGGGGCAGTCATCGTATACCCTTGGGAACTCCCTGCTCTTTGCCACGGCCTGGCAAATAACTTGGAGAACTTCAGCCACCCATCAAATGTCATGCAGCCACCCCAACTCTATTAGTTGAGGACAAACGTAGGCATTGGGTTTATATGTATCCACTCTTCAGCAACATGTATCATAAAATTGATCATAAAATATGATTGCCACAGAAACATGGCCAATAGCGTTTCAGAGAAAATCAACCACAATTTGACTGAATTAAAAATTACTATTTTCTCCATTTAACAAACACCACGGTAGTGCTTACTATGAGCTAGACATTTTCTAAGCACTTTATACCTATTAATTCTTTAATTCTTTTAACAACCCTATGAGAGGAACATAAGGCATAGAGAAATTAAGTAATTTGCTTAATGTCACCACAGGAGGTGGTAGAGCCAGGATTTGAACCCCACGGTCCGACTCTGGTCTGTACTTCTAAACACCAGGCTCTTCTATGAGTATGATAGCTGCTTATGGGGGGATGTTTGGAAAAATCAGACAAACATAAAGAAGAAATAAAATTGCCCAGAGTCTACTAAGAAATAAAATTGCCCAGAGTCTACTACCCATTTTAGTGTATTTCCTTCCCGTGTGCGTACAAAAGCATTACATTTGGTGGAATCACTCTTTTTTTTTTTTCAGTTAGTTATATCTTGTGAACATTGTACCATAGCAAGGTATTAATTTGACTGGTATTCAAACAATTTTCTTAGTCTACTTTGTAAATACCAGCCCAGCCAAGTTTGCAAGCATTTACGAATGGTGGGGTGGGGTAGGAGGGCTGCTGGTTAGGCAGATGACTTATTTCCCCAAGCTCAGAGAACTTTCCTGAACATAGACTCCGCATGATTTCTTTTAACAGACCCGAAAAAAGTATTGTAGCCTAGAAACATAGCGTGACTTTCCCCTACAAAGCATTTCATGTGATGTCCACTTCACATTGTTCGGTTTTCTTAGCAGCAGGGCAGGGAAGGGAGGGTGGTGAGTCTGGGTGCAAAGAAAAATGTAGGCTAGTCAACAGGAAACCTGAAATCCTTGATACAGCAAGGTGGCCTCTGATCATACCCTGGCACGGCCGCTTTCTCTTTCTTTGATAGGTGATGCAAAAATAATAACAACAAATGTTTGAGAAAACCATTAACCTGGTAAACAAAACCATCATTATATGCCAAGACATTGAAGAGTGCTCCCTGAAGCCAAGACTGTAAGGTCATTGCTATGGCCAGCGACAGCTTTTGGCCAAGTCACATGCCATCCTGCAACAGCCACAGAGGTAAACAGCATAGAGGTGTGCTGACCTAACCTCAAAACCTCTTGGGAGCACAAGGAAATTGGATGGAAGAGACTGTTTTTCTTTTCTCCTCCTTTTTAATTGAATTTGTAGCTCTAATTAAAGAGGCAGAAACAAAACAATATTCAAAAGGGAAAGTCAAAGAATGATTCCCCATCTCTGAGTCATCAAGCCATTAGAAACACAGCTGTCCCAATCCTCTCTCGAGCTGTTTTACCCTTTTGCAGGTGAGGAAGTGGAAAGGAGGGCCAAGGGCCAACCTTTTGCAAGTTTCCAGAGGGGACTTAGTTTCATATGCACATACATTTCCACAATAAGTACCTTCTGGAGTTTGCATGCAATTGAATTGCTCTTTCAAGCTTCCTGTCCAATATTCTAACTTGAGTTGTGCTACCAGAAAATCAGGTGTATCTCAATTGCTAAGTCAGTCTTGTTTTTTTCTAGAAACCAGAACTCACTAACTTGAGCCCCTAAATCTACTGCCCCCTGCCTTTTTTGCCTTTTACTCACAGTCACTTGGGTCTAAGTCCCCATGGAGCTGTTGCAGGCAAGAACTCTTTGGAATTTAAGATGAGAAACCAGCAGCTAAATGGATAAATTGAAAATTTTCTTTGACCCTAAGGTCATAAAACTAAGGTCATATCTATTTTCTCAGCCTTTTTGTTACAGGTGTTTTTGAGAACTAGTTCTACTTCCAGGCTGAGTCTTCTAGTCCTGGGGAACGATGAGGCACAGGGACAGGGAAGGGATCAACTCTCCTACTAACAGCCCGTTGAGCCGGTGAGGATCGGCACTTCTCTCAGATTCCACGGGGACTCCTTCAAGGGAGGGGCTGGAGACCCGGGGGAAGCCGGGGTCCAGAACCAGACTAACAGCGTGTCTCCGGGGAGGAATTGAGTAGATAATTTACACTCAGGACAACATAGAAGTTACCTTTCTGTGGCATTTACAAAGTGTTTCTAATGCATATCATTCCATGGTCACGTTTGGTTTTGGTGTCCCTCTACCTGTCCAGCAGGCTCCTCTGCTGAAACCTCTGCTGCCTGCTGTCCCCGGTCCCCCCATCTCCCCAGACTCCTTGAGGCCACAGCCAAGCCTGCTCTCCAGGATAACCTTGAACCTAAACCTTTTCTTCCACAATTAAACTCACTCTGAGTCTCATCTCTCCAAGTCCTTCTAGGGGGGCAATTTGTGCCAAGAGACTAAGAGGGGCAATGGCGTATTACTCTAATACCCCAGGCCCCCTGAGACCCTTGCCAGCTGTGTGAGCTCGGGCAAGCAATTCGGCCCCACTGACCTATACTTGTAAAGAGAGAATGATTCTTTCCAAGTGAGGGTCAAGTGAAATCCTTCGGAATGTTATATATATCACCTGATAGGTAAATCCTTCTTTCTTTCCTAAAGCAAATTTCAGGGCCCCTCCCTCTCACCCAGATTACTACAGAGCCTGGGCCAGTGTCTTTGTCAGCAGACCTGCTCCCCACCACACATTCTCTACCCTGGCCAAAGTTACCTTTCCAGAGTGTAAGTATGACCCTACCTAAAAACTCTAGCGGCTCCCCAGGGCCTGAGTCAAGTCCAGACTCTCTGGCATGGCCCACGAGCCCTGAAGGCTCTGGCGCTTGCTTGCCTCACTGGGCCTCCCTTGCTCAGCACCTGCTGTATGTCACACTGTCCTCTACTTTTAGGGTGCTGAGCAGGCTGTCTTCTCTTCTACAGCACTCTCTCTCCCGGTGGACTTTCTAATTTCTATTCATTCTTTTCATTCTCCTTATTCTGTAAGTATCACTTCCTCCGGGGGCTCATCCTGAGTTGGGTCAATGCCTTCCTCGGTGGCCCTCTCCTGTCTTTCCATCCCAGCGCATTGTGACCACCTGGCTGCCCACCCCTCACTGGTCTTTGAGCTCTTGGCGGCCCAAACTGCGCAGGTCCCCAGGCCCA